CTCTCTCTCTCTCTCTCTCTCTCTCTCTCTCTCTCTCTCTCTCTCTCTCTCTCTCTCGCTGTGTGTGTCTCTCTGTCTCTAACTCTGTGTCTCTCTCGGTGTCATTCTAAGCCTGTGTTGGCAAAACGGTGCCACATCCTTTCTGGTCACTTGCTTTTTTTTTTTTTTTTTCCGCTTCGAGCTTGTAGTTCGGGGGCAGATAGAAAATGGACTTATTCCAATTTACTGCCGCTTCCGAGAGTTCCACATAACGAGATAGGAACCCTTTTAGAGCATCCAGGGATACCTTCTCATTGGCTGAGAGGGCTAGCAGATCATCTGCTAGTGCTTTTACTCTACAATCCTTCCCTCTTCGCAGATTCAGACCCACCAACAAGAGATGGGACCTGACATCGTTCAGCGGTACCTCCAACTGCACCACAGATAGTAGAGGTGCCAAAGGGCATCCCTGTCTCAATGAGCGTGTCCACAATTGTGGTCTCCGGCTCAAGGTAGTCGGGGAGGAGTGGCAATCCTCTTCCATAATAGACTGGAAGGCACGCTGCTTGACTCAGACTGTGATCTGTGGGGTCGCTGGTGCTGGGTGAAGATAGCAATTGAAGAAGAGGAATGGGTGTTCGCAACGGTGTATGCCCCGAACGACCCCCTTGACAGAATCGAGTTTATCGAAATGCTATTTAGGAAGCTGCCAAAGACAGAGCACTTAATTGTGTGGGGGGGATTGGAACATGGTCTGTACTCCGGGCTTAGACTCAGAGAAAGAGGAGAGAATGCAGAGAGATAGGAGAACTCTTCTATTATGGATGGAAAAGTGGGGCCTGCATGATGTATCCAGAGAAATCAACCCGCTTCTCCACGGATACACATGGTTCGGAAGGACTCCTCAATCGGCTGGCGCCATGAGACGCCTCGACTACTTCCTGGTTTCAGAGGCGGTAGCAGCAAATGTGCATACGGTCTATGAAACCAATGCGTCTCTATCGGACCACAAGCCAGTTGTGTTGACAAATAGTGTGGGGATATCAAGCGGGAGAGGTCCAGGCTGTTTTAGACTCAATACAACCCTATTGGACGATGAGGGGATTTTGGACTGGGTAAGATCATTTTGGAAAGAATGGGAGAGAGCAAAAGACTATTTTGGGTCAAGAGCAGACTGGATAGACGCAGGGATTAGGATTATTTCCAACAAGATGGAAGTGTTTTCAGTAATCGATGCATTCCTCAGGAACAAAGAAGAAGCGGATTGCCCAAGAAAAGTGGACGAGGCGGAGAAACAGATGTCAACTCACCCGATTTCGGAAATGGTCTGGGCAGAAGAGAGAGCAAGGAGGCTACAGAGTTGGGAACAGATGCAACAGGAAAGGCACAGCTGGTGGGAACAGGTACTGTCGGAAAAGATGATCGTGACTGGGGATCGCCTATGCAAGGAAACTTTCCAGAGGCTCTTTCCAAGGAGGAAGTCAGTCCAGATGAAAGAGTTGGTCCATCCCCATATTGCTTCGCTTCCACCTGTGACAGCTAATGAAGATCTATGCGATTATGCATAGGCCTATTTTCAGGACATCTTGACCTCTCGTTCACGATTCGCAGACCCAGAGACGGACTTATCTGAACACTCAGACGTGTGGAACACTCTGGGCGTAGATGTAACGGTGGAGGCCAGAGAACAGTTGGACAAGCAAGTGTCGGTGGAGGAACTGTCTCACACCATATCCACGGTAGCAAGGGGAAAAGCACCTGGGGTTGATGGGCTGGCGATGGAATTTTGCAGGTCAGTATGGGAGGTGTTTGTAGAGGAGCTGGTAGCACTATATAACGAAGTTCTAGAAGGAGGAAGGCTAGGCCCTACCATGACTCGGGGCATCATAACGCTGTTATACAAGAAAGGGGATCGCAGCGAGATCAGAAACTGGCGGCCGATATCTTTACTTAACTTCTCATACAAGCTGTTAGCCAAGACTATGGCCAACAGACTCGCAGTATATCTTCCAAGCCTGGTGGGACCGGATCAAGGGGCCTTCGTCAAAGGGAGATCCATCTTTGACAACTTGGCCACCGCGATTGAGTCACTTGAGATCATTGGAAACAGGAATTTGAATGTGGCGGTCCTCATGCTCGACATGGAGAAGGCTTATGACCGAGTTAATTGGGCCTTCGTCCTCACAACACTGAAGAGGATGAACTTCGGAAGNATGCTCGACATGGAGAAGGCTTATGACCGAGTTAATTGGGCCTTCGTCCTCACAACACTGAAGAGGATGAACTTCGGAAGCGGCTTCTGTAATGGCGTGAAAGCACTGTACCTGTTCTCCACAGCAGCAGTGCAGGTCAACGGATGGCACAGCAAGGAATTTAATCTGGTCACTTACTTATACCCACCCCACAAGTTTTTTTCTGTCTCCGTAATATCATCAAAATATGGAGTAAAATCTCACCAAAATGTGCAGGATTAGCTAGGAAATGTTTGAACGAGTTTATAGTCTGTAGTACCTGTATGGTGGGTATGTGGCACATACTTTGAAATGCGGGTGCGCAAAGACAAGGCAGGAGCAGCAGGTGGATTTATCTTCACTATGATGATGAAGCTGCTGAGGTCTGGGAATGCACACAGAACCCCGTAGTACGATCCGGATTCAACCACGAGCACCTCAAGCTCCTTTTCCCCCTAGGCTCATAAGCCCCTGCGCGCCAATTTTTGCCGAGCCTGGAGGGGGTGGGAACCGCTTTGGGGCATTTGTTGGTTGGCACAGGTGCTGCCCCTTGTTTTCACTTGTGGAGCCACCCCAGGCTGGCCAAAAGTGTGGTCAGATACATTCTGGTAAGTGCAAGTGTGAGAGTGCCCGATGTGCCTGTGGAATCGAACCACATGAATGGATCGCCTTTCTCACGGGGAGACGCAGCAAATACTGCCAGGAATACTGTTCATTTCTTTAGTTGAAAAAGGGAAAAAAAAACAGAAGGGGGGGAAACATGTGCAGTACGTGATTGCCCCAGACGCATGCTTGCCGGGCCAACGCTCCCCTTTCTCACGGGGAGTTGCAGAAGATATTGTCAAGATTGCTGGTTTTTTTTTTTTTTTTTTTTTTTTGGAAGGAAAAAAAAGGAGGGAGGTGGGGGGGAGGGAAACAGGTGCAGTACGTGATTGCCCCAGATTCATGCGTACCAGGCCAGAGGTGCAGGTAGATACATCCAAAGATTCTAATCATGGAGTGTTTCGAACGTGCCTTTGGAGGCAGCCACAACAACAACAAAGAAAAAGGTATTGTATTATTGTCAAGATTGCTGTTCTTTTTGTTAGTTGGAAAAAAAAAGAAAAAAACAAGGGCAAACACAGGTGCAGTACGTGATTGCCCCAGATTTTGTCGCACCTGGTCACAGTTACGGCTACATACAGTCTGAAAGATCTAACCGTGGAGTGCCCTAAACGTTACTTTTGTTTCAGGCACTCCGAGGCTCCCCGTGTCTCACGCGGAGTCGGATCACATATGCCCAAGATTGTTTTTTCTGTTCGTAGTTGTAAGCAAAAAAAAAAAAAAAGAAAGTGAAAATGTACCACGCCACAAGTGCAGGCATATACATTCAGGAAGTGCATGGTCTTTCTTTTCTTAGCAGTTCCCGAGTCCTTGTTTTTTTTGTTTTTTTTTTTCCTTTCATGTTTGTGCTGTGCGCAGGCATGTGGAAGCACATGCACAATGAACCCGTCGATAAAGCATCCGCCTTTGCCTCTTTTCCATTTTCGTTGGGCCCAACACCTTTGCCGAACCCCAAAAGTCGTGGCGCGTTAACGGCCGCGACAAAAAAAAAAAAAGGGCTGGCCAAGGTACTGGTGGGTTAAAATTTAAACCACTAGTACACGACCCCAGCCTTGCAGTCCAAAACTTGTCGCCACAAGAAAACGAGGGCGGAACGTGAAAAGCTGGGCCTGCCATTGATAAATTGGGTCGGCAGTTGCGCTTTCGTTTCCCGCTTCCCGATTTCTCGAGGTGTCAGGCTCGTGGCCCAGGTGCCCATGTACTGGTGCTTCAAGGCCGCAGGCTCAGTGCCCGGGGCTGAGAGAAAAAAAGCTGAATGAAACACAGTGTCGCTCCTCAGGGTTACCCCCACTTTTTTTCTTGAAGAGAGGAGCTACCTCAAAGAGGCAGCTGCAAGTCAGAGAGGCAGCTGCAAGTCAGAGAGTGAGCTGTCCTGGGATTCTGGGAATTATGTAGAGGGGAAAATATGGCGAGGTAGAGCTTCTCATTCAGTCTAGGTCATCTTCAGGAATTATTACGATGACAGCTTTACATGGGCTAGATCAAAGCATGAACAAGGGGCAATGAGGTCTATGGTTGTGTCTGCAAAACTTGGTACGAAGACCATGGTCATCTTCAGGAATTAGGATCGCAGTTTTTCTTTATTTTCGATTGTTGTATTTAGCAATCTGCGACCTTTGGTTCAAGCAGACTGGCAAAGAAGACCTTTTAGCCCCACTCCTCTTTTGAAACGAAAAAAGGAGAAATTCTGCCATTTTTTTTGGGGGGGGGGGTTATCCTAGTGTAGTCTGATTCTTGGGTATCTGAATTGTGAATGACAAGTAAGGTTTGAGATGCAAGGCTCAGGCCAGCGCTTGAGGTTTTAGAATGCCTACAAGATGTGCTGGAATGTTTGTGACATCTGGGATGCAACACAGTGACTCATCATCCTCTTCATGTGTGTGTGTGTGTGTGTGTGTGTGTGTGTGTGTGTGNAAGAAAAGCACGACTGTGCCGGACTGTTTTGTTGGACTTTCACCGACTCATTAGGAGGATGAACCTGGACAGACGGTCTGCCCAGATGCATTTGACTGATGGACAAGGACTCGCCACGTCGCCCAGAGCTAGCGATACCTCTCAGAGAGAAAAGTGGTCGACTTCACTCACGCCAACCTTGCCACCCTAGCAGACTGTCTGTCAGTCCAACATCCTGACAAGAATGGCAGCAAGTCTGAGAAACTGATCTGCCGCAGCCATAATGGATACCCACTCTACACACCCACTCAGCCATGGATACTCACTCGCATGACGGCTAGTACGGTCCCTTCCGCTGGCCGCAATGGTCTGCTTGAACGGAGAACTTAGCAAGGCTGTGTTGCGCCTCGCCATGTTCGTGTGTGTGTGTGTGTGTGTGTGTGTGTGCTCGCCGTTGCACTTTGTTTATGTATGCCAATAAACTTGTTTGTTGTAATCATTTTTGTGAACAGATATCGCATATGGAAATGCTGAAGGGCATTGCGGGCCATCACTATCGTGACGAGTTGATAGTTCCTATAATCGAAAACATGCCGCGAGAGTCTGAGCTGACAGATAGTCTGGAATCCGCGGTATGGTGCATTTCTACAGCGCGTACACTTTCCCTCATCTAATGCATTTGTGGGCTAATCTGTTATTTCCAGATTCCCATTCCAAGGAACCCTGCCTGCTTCTCTCACCACCGACGCTTGCATATCGCCTTTGTACAAATTTGCAGTCGATTGTGGGTGTTAAGTTGTTAACGGTACAGCTGCCACGGCTTTTTTTTGGGGCTTGCCATGGCTTGTGAGTGTGTGGAGCTGTGTGTCGGTTCTGCTGCTCCGAGCTGTGTGTTGGTTCTGCTGCTCCGAGTGCATTACTACATGATGGTCCTCATCAGAGTTCAGTCCTTGCAGTCATCGAAATAGGTTCCCCCCCCCCCCATCTAAATAGGTTCTAAAGTTGGTAAACACAGTTAATTACATTGCACTGATTGCACTGATTGCACTGATTGCACTGATTGCACTGATTGCACTGATTGCGGTTAATTTATGTTTTGCAGGAAATGATACCTGACTACAGTTGTCTTCGTGACCGTTTACTTACATTTTGATTAGCTATACTGTGGGTAGTATTGGGTACCTTATTTAAGTCAGTTTCACTTTGCATTGCAGTTAATGACACATAAGTTGTTTGCAATGTTTGCAGCTCTCGCTGCATTGGATGGCTGCAAATTGCAGTTACAGGCCAACCAAATGAAGTGAGGCTTGCGGGGTGATTGCGGTGGTTTGCTGCTGGGGGTGCTGTGAGAAGTTAATTGAACCTTATCATTTAGAGGAAGGAGAAGTTGTATCAAGGTTTCCGTATGTTAAAAAACAAAAATGAACTGAGGCTCACTATGTTGTAGATGAGGGAACTTCTATCTGCCTGCATACTTACTTGGATGCTCTTTTAGACTTTTACCCTTTGGATACACGCTTTTACCGTCTGGATTCACTCTTTTACCCCTCTGGATTCACTCTTTTACCCCTCTGGATTCACTCTTTTACCCTCTGGATCCGTTCTTTTACCCTTTACCCTTTGGATACACGCTTTCACCGTCTGGATTCACTCTTTTACTCTTTGGATACACTCTTTTACCCTCTGGATTCACTCTTTTACCCTCTGGATTCATTCTTTTACCCTTTGGAAGTTTGGATACACTCTTTTACCCTTTGGATTCACTCTTTTATTCTCTGGATTCACTCTTTTACTCTTCGGATTTACTCTTTTACCTTCTGGATTCGCTCTTTTACCCTCGAATTTCACTGAAAGCATACAGAATGCAGATGGTGCATGCATTGTCTCCTGATTGGAGGCTTTGTTCCCTGAGCAATTCAGCCGGGAACCTCCTTGGGAATCGGTGAAGGTTTCACAAAATTCTGTGTTTTGACATCTGTTTTTTGTTGTCAGAGACAGCGCTGCGTATGGGCTTTGATCCGATTTACGTGCCACTCGTCCTCCTCGCATGGGATGGCCACAATTCAAGCAGTGCGGTTGTATAGTGCCTTTGTTAAAGTTCGCATGTAGCAGGATAAGCTACCGACCACATGCCATGGCAAATATCATTAATTGACCAGTTGTTGAACCGTTGAACCCCTCCCTTCCCATTAACAGTCTACTACAATGTGTAATCCCTCCTCCTCCCCCTCCTCCTCCTCCTTCTCTCTCTCCCTCTCTCCTGTCTACCTTAGCAAAAGGTCATGGCTGCTTTCAATTTTCTCTGGTTTCAATTTTCTTCCTTCCCTCCTTTCTTGCTTGCCATCTATTTTCTCTCTTCAAAGATAAAGGGAGTAGTTATCGAATGTGTAATTACTAATTTTATTCCCGTTTCCCCTCGACTGAACAGGCAGAACATGGCTGCAGGGCACAGATGCTTTTGACTTTTGTTGGTTCCCTCTGTGTGTGTGTGTCCGTGTGTGTGTGTGTGTGTGTGTGTGTGTGTGTGTGTGTGTGTGTGTGTTGTTTTACATCTGAAGAAATATGACTGGTAAATAGGAAATAAGATCATGTAGTTTATGGACATGCTATGTATATTACTGTTCGGCCTTGGAGTCACTGAGCGAAGGTGCCAGGACTTTCCTCTTCCTTCTGGTTTATCCTCCTCTGGTTTGTGCCAGTCTGTTTGGTTCGCTCGCTCTTTGGGTCTTGCGGCGCGGAACATGAAACGAAGACGAAGCGAGTGCATCTGCCCACGAAAGGTGGCAAAATACACTTGTTGCTATTTATAGCAAACCGATGAACCTGGCCATGTTCAGCAGGAAGATGAACTCGTTTCGTTTTTCGTTTCCTGTCCCGTGCGGCGACGCCCTTTGATTGTTACCCCTGATATATATATTTTTCTTTCTTTCGTTGGAGGTGGTGCTTTTGTAGGTGAAGGCATATCCTCGATCAACGGCTGTTCTTGTGCGTAATCATGGGATTTATCTCTGGGGGGATACCTGGATCTCTGCAAAGACACAGGTGAGTAGCGTGCACTGTTTATATGTGCTTTTCAAACCTTTTCCATACAAGGCATGGATGGCTATGGTAGTTATTTTATTTGTCTTCAATTTGCCTAGAAATATTTACATTCTCAGGCGGGGCCTTTCCCTCGCCCCCCTTTCCTGCCCCCTTCAGTTTATGAGGTATATTTTTCCAGATGCCCCCCTGGATGTTGAAATCTGAACCTGGTGCACCTGGCGGTCCAAATGCCATGTCTAATCTGGTCCAGTTTCACAATGTGATGCAGACATATCAACATGGTTGCTATATTCTTTTAGTATGAAATTAATATGAATACGGAGGTCAAGAAACAGTGTACACATCCCAAGGAGTGCTGTGTGTTAATGCTTGGGAAGCTGAACGAATAAGCGAAAAAAAAAGAAAAAGAAAAAAAGGACAAGGACCTAGGAAGATTCTCACGCGTGGCCGGGCACCCAGGCGTGATGCCCTGGGTATCCGGGCCTGCAAAAAAAAAAAAAAAAAAGGTTCTCTGCGGTCTCCCAGAGGACCCCCAATCTGGGCCCATTTTTCTTTTTTTGCGAGTTGGCTGTCAATGGGGGGGGAGGGGAGTATAAGTTGGTTTTAAAGGGGTCTAAAGGGGGGTGCCTTTGTGTGATTCTGTTATTTGCTTTTTTATCTCCCATTCTGTGAGGAATTATAATGTGACCCTCAGCCAAAAGTCGTTCGTGTTTCAATTCTACACAACTTTTTTTTTTTTTTTGCGCTGGCACTGCCCGGAACCCTGCCCGGGGGTCATGCCCGGCCGGGCACCCGGACGTGAACCCGGGCAGAAGTTGGGTGCCTGGGCGCCCCGGAAAACCGCCTAGATAAGGACTTCTAAGGAGAGAAAAGAGTCGAAAGACTGAATTCGGCAGAGGACAGAAGCAACAACTTCTACTAGGAGGACTACAGCCCGACACTTCTATTTTTTTTTTTTTCGGTGCTTCCCCTGCGTTTCTGGAGTCGATCGTTTATGCCGCTTGTATCGCTGGATGGTAAATGTCAAAGAGCCGACAATGGGGGTGCATGTCTCACATCTGCCCCCCTCAGACGAAATGATAATCGAAGGTTGTCGCGTAATTGGTCTCAGACTGCGCATATGATTGTTCCTTGTCTGTGTCCCTTACACTGTGCAAGTGGGTGGGTGGGTGTCAGGAAAAGGAGGAAGAGATGGGGGAAACGAATTCGTTTGTGCCAAAAGTAGCTTAGAAAATTGTCACACCTCGACTTCCATGGATGTCTCTGACTTCTCCTCTATGAGACAGAGAATAGCAGTGTCCTCTGTGAGATGCAGAATAACAGCAAGCTCACCCTTCCAGGATACCTTTCATTTCATTTGTCTATAGCAGCAAAAGTGGAGTATGGAATTCTATGGACACTGGATGTGGGCTGGCTTACTTAATCACCCGCTCAATCCAGGCTGAGTACCTAATCTCTGTCTTGTGAGCTGGCTTACTTATTGTGCGTTTGGAATTCCTGTCATCGTGCAGTGAACTGATTGGATTCTGTCAAATTTTAGTTGACCTTGTCGCCAGGTTCTCTCTCTCTCTCTCTCTCTCTCTCTCTCTCTCTCTCTCTCTCTCTCTCTCTCTCTCT